TCATATCAAAGAGCATTATACATATACCAATCGCATATAATTAATATATAAATTAGCCGTATCATTTATTTTTTTGGATTGACTTCATACAAACTCAATTTATTTATTAATTTTATTGTGTCGAATCCACTCGTTTGCGAAACGAGTGGTTTAAAAAAAACTCGAACCCTTTAATATCTTATCGTGTTAATAAATCCGTGTCATATTTTAACATCCGTAAATAACGATAAATATTCAAAATGCTGAGAAGTAGTGTTTAGTGGGTTAGATATAAACGCAGTAATTGTCATTTTCAATAAGTCGTGAAGGTCTCACATTCTGGAGAAGCAACATTCATCATACTTGATATTTTGTTCAACTACGCTCCAACTTGATGTTGACATTCTCTATACGTATGTTTAATAATGACAAAGTATCTATGTGTTGATTTCACTGACAGACACCCTTTACATCCGCAAATTTTTTAAATTTATCCGATAATCACATCGGATCGACAAAAATTTAATTGAATTTGAATTCAAATATAAGTCAATTCAGTCTATGCCGTCACCACTCACCACAATCATTATCGTCATTCACCATCACCACTACCAACGTTCATTCCCACTATAATCGGTACTTAAATTCTTTTTTATTTCTTCTATCTTTATAATTTGATTTTGAATGTAAATACAAATATGTTTATTGTTGACATTTTAATTACTCTGTGCCTTTAGAAAAGAGAAATAACTAGTTTGATGTATTTAAGTAAATATAAAATATAATAGATCAACATTGTTACATCATATGGTCAACCAATAATATGCAGATAAATAAGAAAGTAGGCCCCACATAAGTTAATACTATTCATTCACATTTATAATATAAAATAGGACAAGTTTCAATAAATTTATTCGACGGTGTCAAATAAACTAATTCAATAGTTACTAACATTCCTCTCAAAATTATTCATATTATACTGTGACTTCAAGCACGAGTTATCTCTAGTAAATAGATAATTACCTACTCTTTTTTTGTGTAAGCAATTAATTACTCAAATATGTTTTACTTTATCCATGCAGTTTTATTATTGATTAATAATATTATCAAGGCCAGCTTAACAGCTTTAAAAAAAAAACATGGGTTTTAGGCCCCAAATTTTTAGGTACACTATTAGCCCATAAAAAAATTAAATTCTTTAAATTTTAAACCTTAAAAAAAGCCCCAAATATTAAGTACAATCAACATTTTTATTTTAATAATTTGGGTATATGATTCAATTCATAACATTAGAAATATAAAAATCATAAGTTGAAAAAATAAAAAGTACTCAAAAGTTAACTCATATTTACCCCTACTCTCTCTCTATCTCTCTGTGCAAAAATTAGTACAAAACATTAAAAAAAGTTAAAATTAAACTCTCTTTCTGATAAAAAATAAAAATAAAAGTTCAAATATTTTTTCAGTAACACTAGCACGTCCTTCTTCGGTCTTTCTCTCATATAATAAATTGAAAATAAATTAATTTTTTAAAAAAATTAATATTAAAAATAAAAAAGACCTCATTTAGTATTTTCGTTTTAAGCCTCCAATTGCTTTAAGTCACCCCTAAATATTATGTCATCAATGTGATATAGTATTACCGTTGTATTTTTTTCAACGTCAGATATCATGTATCATACGTGATATTAGGCATTACACCGAATATTTATTCTAATAAATAGGTGAGTGTAGACCCCACAAAATTTAGTAACTACAATTGATCATATGAAAAATAATATGAGACCTCCTTCAATTAGAAAAACTGCGACAAACGAATTTTCTTCGTTATATACAAAAAGAGTGCACACACACACAATGTAGTGCACCAGGTGGCATTGTCGTCACCTCTTCGCCACAATCCAATGGCACCACAATTAGCCGTCTTAATAGAGACAAGTAATTCGCACCGAGTATAGATAAAATTCGGTTAAAATTTGAATCATATTTTAAATAGATTGAGTTTAAATAATTTTTAAATTTGTTTAAAAAAACTCGGGTTAAGCTCGTAAAACTCGGCTCATTTATATGTAAAATAATCGATTTAGTCGGACTTAACTCTAATTTTAAACGTGTTAAGTTTAAATAATTTTTTAAATTTATTTAAAAAAATTGATTCGCTAGACTTCAGCTTAAGCTCTGAAAGTTTAGCTTGATTAAGATTCCTAAGCACAGTCTAATAATCACCAGCTTTAATGACATAAATGCCATCCAATTCCTCTTGAATCAGATGATGGTCTGTCGTATTCAATTCATCACAACCTAGTACAATGTGGACAGCCACGGACGTCTTCTCTACCGTTAATTCAAAGAAAAAGGACGACTTCTCTTTCATACAGCTATGTCAATCCTACTCAACCATCGTCGACCCGGGTAAAAATTTAAATTTTCTTGTTCAATTCTTGATTTCGAATCTTTATATTTAGGATAATTCAGTGAGATTAAATTTATTCTTTTATGTACAAATTTATTCTAGTGGGTAATTCTTGATTAAATTTATTCTTTTACTCTCTAACAATGGACAATACTCTTTAACGAATATATCAAGATGGATGAAATTTGGAATTTTTTTGTCTTTTGTGACAATGGATCTAAACTATTTGTAAGGAGGTGGAGAAAAAATAATTATATTATTAATGAAACTCTTATTCCATATTCTATATCATACTATCACATAGGATTTTTTTTAAAATAAATTTGTATGATTTTTTAGAATTATTTACAACTTCTAGGATTTTTTTCGATTAATCTTAAATAATTGCAATTGCTCTTAATATTTTAAGATTGACCCTAAAATTATTAGAATCTATAGCAAACTCTCAAAAAATTATAATTTAAAACTATGAGTCATAAGATGACCCAAAAATTATAATTTTTTTTAGATCAATCCTAGTTTCTTTGATTAAAAAAATATCCAAAAACTTAAATGGTATACGTTGGAATTTATAAATTTTAGGGTAAAATACATGTTTGGTCCCTAAATTATACGATTGTGTTTGATTGATCCCTAATATTTTAATTATGTCAATTTAATTTTTTTAGTTTGCATCGCTTTGATCCAATTGAAAACGACAATTGAAATTTACTAATAGAGATGATCACGTGCATCTCACATGATCATATTGGGGTGCACTCTTTAAGATCTTTAGGGACTAAAGTAAAATAAACTGTGAACTTAAAAGATTAAAATAACACAAATTGCAAATTTAAGGGACCAAAGTGACCCCTCAAGTGTGGTCACATGAATATCTATGTTAGTCAATTTAAACTGTTGTATTTTATTCGACCAAAATAACACAAATTAAAAAGTTGAGGAATCAAAGTATATAATTCAAAAATTGGAGACCAAAATGACACAAAATGTATAGTTTATGGGCTAAAAATGTATTTAATTCTAAATTTTATTACGAATTAATTACAAATTACTCCCTTCGAGTTTATGTCATGTATCAATCAACTTCATCTGGTTTCAATTGAGACAATTTACCCTCTTAATTTTTTTTTAGTCATAATAATTTCACATGATTTGAAATTCAATAAAAATATAAAAGTACCCTCCTCTTTAATTTTTTGTTAACTTAAAAATATCCCTAGCCCATAGGCAACCCAATAATGAATCCCTTCTTCCCCTATAACTCACACCCTCTCACCCTCACCCTCACCCTCACCCTCCTCAGGTGAACCTCCAACAGCAGCCCCGACAAGCATTGTGATACTCTGTCTTTCATCGTATCATATTTAAATAATATTAAGGGTTAAAATATAATTTTAAAAATTGTTAGAAGGATGTTAAGCGGTAAGTTAAAATATTAAATTTTGAAAATTATATTTTGACCCTTAATATTATTTAAATGCAATACGATGAATGACAAGAGTCTCGTAAGTATGTTATGCCTTTCTTCAATGAAATACATCCACTTCCTCCACCAGTGAACCACCACCACCAACCTGACAAGTATGTCACATCGCCCTTCTCCGATGAAATCCAACCACTCCTTCCTCTATTGAACCATCAACAGCAATACCTCTGAAGTTTCTCCTCCATTTTGTGAAACCCACCCATTCTCCACAGTAACACCCAGTTGAATGCCCTCTCGCAACTACGGCAGAATACAAAATCAATACTTTATTGGTGATCTCATTGCTTAACCTTTTTGTCATGCATTTAGGCTCTTATTTCCCCCAAAAAAAGAGTGAGATTGCCATATTTTATAGGAAAATGTTATACAATTCAAATGTTACACAACTCAAATGAACTCCAAAACTATAATTCAAATGCATATCATCCTTGAATGAATGTTGGGTGAATGAGTCTCATTGAAAAAATTGATGAGATCCACTCATCTAAAGAATACATATTTGAGTCGTAATTTTTTAGATTTCATTTGAATTATGTAAAATTATTCTATTAGATATGTTGTTCGTCCCAACTACCAATTATCAGCTTCTAAAGCTTTAGATGACCCACAAAGAGAAGAATCTTATTGTAGAAAAATGGGGAAGGTGCATCGGGATTTTGTGGTTAAATTAGAAAAAAAAATAAAAGAAAAATCACTAAACTAAGAATCAAATTATGTGGGTATATATCTATTTTTGTTTTTTTAAATAGGAGGGTGTATATATTGGAGAGAGAGATTTTTGCAATATGTATATATGTATGTCTGTGTGTGGGTGGGTACATAGACATTTAGAAACATCAAGGGGCAAATTGTTTAAATTAAAATCAGTGAGGATTGATTACTACATGACCCAAATATGAAGGGAGCAATCTGCAATTAACCTTTTTAATATGTTTACTCCATAAATAGGGTAACGCATTCGAATATTAGGCAGCGAAGTCAAATATCGACAAATTTACGAAACAACCCCTCTACAAATTTTATTATACCATGAGGGTCAAATCTGACGTCGCCCACCGGGATTGGTTACATTAGCATCTCTTTGTCGTTTTGCCATCACTCTGAAGACTTTTTTATCTCCTTCCTCACTCTAGGGTCTGAATCATCCGCTCTCTCGCTCTCTCTCTCTCTCCCCCCGTACAAGTTACTCCAACTGTCGCCGTCCGAGCCTTATCTCCTCCGATCTCAGCCGTAAACTTCCATCGCCGGCCAACTATTCCTCCGATTCTACTCTCGGATGCCTCCGATGAAGGTTTTTTCCAATACAAAGAATCGATGCTTGGTTACTCTTTTATTGGTTGATCTGATTTTCTCATCCAGCTTCTCAGTCTAACACCAAATCCGATTTGGTTCTTATTCTGACGCTTTTTATTTTTTGTTTATTTTGAATTTTCGTTGTAGATCGCATTCGAAAATATGTTCTCTTTAGGCAAAATAAGAAAGAATTCATCAAGTCTTCCTTAACAGTTTCATTTGTAATTTTTGTATTCAACTTCAGTCAAGAGTTTTGGTCTGAAACTTTTCGATTGAACTTATAAATTGAATTTTACAAGAATTCCTTGTTTGTTTCTACTTCAGTTGGATCTTGTTTAGAAGTCGAAATATGGAGGATCGGAACGCGAGTAGGAGGTATTCGGGAACGCTAGATGATACAGTTTTCCAGTGTGTGATTCCATACGTACACGACTCGCGTGACCGAGACGCGGTGTCTTTGGTCTGCAAAAGGTGGTACGAGATCGATGCAGAAACGAGAAAACACGTAACAATCGCGATGTGTTACACAACCACGCCGAATCAGCTCTGGCGGAGGTTTAAACGCATCGAATCGCTGAAATTGAAGGGCAAGCCGCGTGCGGCGATGTTCAATCTAATACCGGAGGATTGGGGAGGGTATGTGACGCCTTGGGTGGAGGAAATTGCGAATTCTTTTAGCCAATTGAATTCGCTTCATTTTCGGAGGATGATTGTTAAGGACTCGGACCTTGAGTTACTTGCTGAATCACGTGGTCCCGCGCTTCAAGTTCTTAAACTTGACAAGTGCTCTGGGTTCTCTACTGATGGGCTTTTGCACATTTGCCGGTCTTGCAGGTAATTTCTGTTGTGTTTAAAAATTATTTTTCACATTATTTTTGCAGTTTTCGTATTGTCGTGGTTGGTAATTAATCAATTTCCACGTGGGTTCTTTTTAGAATATTGTAGTTGATGTGTTCTTGAATGTATTGACAATATTTTTTCCTGATGAAGGAGAAATCTGAGAGTAAGGTCGCAGCCAAGGGTGGTTCTGTTAGTTGAGGGCGTGAGGTAGGGTAGCAGGATATATAGACCTAATCTTTGATATTGCTTGCAAAAATTGACTCTTTTCAAATACCGTGGAGACTTGATACGTTATCCCCAAGCTTGAACATAAATTTCTACAGATTAGGAGCTTCTCAAAACAAAGGAAGGAAAAAAATTTAATTGGAGCGGAAGAGGGAAATAAAATGCCCACGTTGTTCAACGGCATGATTTTATTCATCGTGTTTATAGGCAGTGATTTATGTGCGTCAACCCAAATAGGTGTCATACGGGTCATGTTTGGGTTAACATTATGATTATGCTTGTCATGTTTGTGTTAGTTAGTATGACACGATTAATTACGTAGGTTGTTTCTTGTGTTGATGGGATTTAACACAAACCCAAAATGATAACATTTGAATGTGACATGATTGGCAGCCTAGTCATGGTTGATTATATGATTGTATGTTTTTCCTTTCGTCTCCTCTCCCACCGCGGTCTTGGGGGTTGAGTATCTCTAGTAGCATGGACCTCAGATTTTCATAAGTATAACTAACTATTGGGTGTTTAGATGATGGTCATGAATCTTTGGGTTGAGAACTGAGACTTGAGGCAAGATCACTTAGGATGATTGCATAATTAAATGGTTGTTGTCAAAGTATTATAGAGAATATGAGAAGACGTGATATTCTCTTAATAAACTGATAGAGATACTGGAGATAAAGGTACAATTAGTTTTAGAAGAAACAAAAATTATCAAACTAATGTGGTGACAGATTAAAGATGTGTTTCATTCAACTCTCAAGCGAGTGAAAAAGAAATAGAAAAAGAGCCATGTAAGCTTCTTTGACACTTTACAGCACTCAGGTATACCTTTGCAGCCCTTTCGATCCTGTCTTCCCCCCCCCAACCTCTCCCCAAAAGGGAAAAAAAACCAAAACAGTAAAAGAATGTATGAATGATCCAATTTTCCATACATAGGGTAGACCTGAATTTTGATTGCAAATACAAATAGCGCAATAAGATTTTGTAATGAGACATCCAACTGTATGAATTAAGGTTAGAGCCTTGCAACATGATGTTTATAGCCAGAGCTTATCAACAAAAGGGGTTGGTATGACATGCCTTGTAAAAATCCCTCACCAAAGATAACACCTGACCTTTTCTTCCCCATGCGACGGGTGCGTAGGCACCAAGTCACAAACTGCAAGAATTGACCCTTGGTATCATCCCTTACTTTTATATGACACTTAGACAAAGCTAGCAGAGATCAACAACTTTGGATGTTTTGCTAATTAAATGGCCAATGTTGAGGTTTATAAGAGAAGTCCTTGACATGGTCAAAACTGCTAGAAAGTGTAAGAACAAGGTTATGGAGAAAAAGATCAATTATTCTTTAGAAGAAACAACAACTATCAACCATGTGCGGTGACAGCCTTAAGGATGGGTTGCATTCTCTCAAGTGAACCGCATCCCCTGCGCATACATGTGATAGAATGGGATCTAATTGTGCATATGGGGACCCCCAGAAGATTTCCTAATGTTATATCCCAACCTTTGGTTGGGATGGGCTTAGAGCTTTGCACAATTTGGTCTTTGTTACCGGCACTATGTTAAAAACAATGTTTATAGCTAGAGCTCATCAATTAAAGCAGTTGGTTTGGCATGCTTCATAAAACCTTTCCACATCCTTCACCGATACCATCTCTCATGTAGTGAGTGCACTTGGCCACTAGTCACAAACTGTAAACTTTATCCCTTGTTTTTAGTTGCCACTTAGACAAAAGCTAGTTATTCTTTATGGTATCTCTTTTTCTGTGTCTTGGTTGTTGGTGTTCGTTGAAAGTTGCAATTTCTTCTTGCCTATCTATATTGTGAAATTCCACAAATGAATGCCAAAAGGATGTGGAGTAAGTGTGTTAAAAATGGATATGTTGGCCCACACTAGAAGAGTTAGAACTTAGAACCCTAGATAGGGGAATTGGCAATAATTGGCTCATATACGATATACCAACTACAAGTGTCCAACCAGTTGCATATGGTTTTGTCATGTTGAAGTGTATGTATCACTATGTGCTTTTTATCTACGACAAGGTTGTAAATAACAAGGACCATTTTCAAAAACAATCAACACGGATAAGGATGCATTCTTGTGCGATGGACTTTATGCTCTTGGTCGTTATGTTTTGCGTCGTAAAGACTGCAAAATAACACTTACGGTGCATCTGAGCATCATTGGTTAGAGTTTGTACAAAACCCTCGCAGTAGTTATCAGCGAGAAAGTTGTTATGAGTACTTATCACCAAACATGCTGTTTTTGCGTTGTTTATTTTGGAGATGTGAATGCTGCATTTTGATGCTGTAGTGGTCTAAATGTATCCAGTGCCTAGTATGTCTATTTATGCTCGAATTTTTCCTTATTTTGTTGTACTTCTAATTTCTTACTTGTTTATACTTCTACAGCAATTTAAGAACATTGTTTCTGGAAGAGAGTGTGATTACTGAGAAAGATGGTGAATGGCTACATGAGCTCGCTTTGAACAGCAAGTTTCTTGAAGTTTTGAATTTTTACATGACAGATCTTGGGCAAGTCGGATTTCAAGACCTTGAACTCATAGCCAGAAATTGTGGCTCTCTAGCCTCAATCAAAATTTGCGAGTGCGATATTTTGGACCTAGTTGGTTTCTTCCGAGCTGCAGCTGCACTAGAAGAGTTTGGTGGGGGTTCCTTTAGCGAACAATTAGAAGAGGTGGGTGAAGGTGCCTTCAATGAGCAATTACATAAGTACTCTGCAGTATCATTTCCCCCAGCATTATGCCGTTTGGGTCTAACATACATGGGGAAGAAGGAGATGCCCATTCTATTTCCTTTTGCTTCCCGTCTGAGAAAATTGGATCTCCTTTATGCTCTTCTTGACACAGAGGGCCATTGTGTCTTAATCCAGAAATGTACCAACCTGGAAATTCTTGAGGTAACATCTCAAAGTTTTCTTGTAATTTTATGTGTTGTTTAAACATGTCTCTTTTCTGCTGAACATGTAAGAGAAGGTATACCAAAATATCCAAGTACATAATTACAAAATAACATTCAAGGGGTGAAATTTTTTGGGGAACTCAAACTGAGCAACTTTACGATAACTCTTTATTCTCTGATAAATAGGCAAGGAATGTCATTGGAGATAGAGGATTGGAAGTTCTTGCTGGCTGTTGCAAGAAATTGAAGAGGCTTAGGATTGAGCGAGGTGCTGATGAACAGGAAATGGAGGATGAAGAAGGTATAGTTTCACAGAGAGGATTAATTGCTTTGGCTCAGGGATGCTTCGAGCTGGAATATTTGGTTGTACACGTGTCTGATATCACAAATGCATCTCTGGAGTGTATTGGCACATACTTGAAAAATCTCCGTGATTTCCGCATGGTCTTGCTTGAACAACTAGAAACAATAACAGATTTGCCTCTTGACAATGGAGTTAGATTTCTATTGAGGAATTGCGACAAGCTTGGTCGTTTTGCTCTGTATCTTAGGCCTGGGGGTCTGACAGATGTGGGTCTCAGGTATATCGGCCAATACAGCCAGAATATAAGATATATGCTACTCGGTTTTGTTGGGGAATCTGATGCAGGCCTTTGGGAGTTCTCCAAAGGCTGCCCGAACCTGCAAAAGCTAGAACTGAGGGGCTGTTGCTTCAGTGAACATGCACTGGCTATTGCCGCTTTGCAACTTAAGTCTCTGAGGTACTTATGGGTGCAAGGGTATAGAGCATCTGCAACAGGTCTTGATGTCTTAGCTACGGCGTGTCCATTCTGGAATATTGAGTTGATTCCTGCAAGACGAATTGCTGCCGCTGGTCAACAAGGGGGGCCTGTATTTGTTGAACATCCGGCACATATTCTTGCGTACTATTCCCTTGCTGGACAAAGAACAGACTTTTCAGATTCTGGTACTGTTATTCCTTTCAATCGACCTGCCCAGCTTATTGCATAGATCAATACATATAAGCTCTTTCCAAGAGTTCGTTTTTCCCTGTAACACGCTCGTTGTTACTTGTGCTGTTCATAATGTACTGCATCTTTTTTTCTTCTTTTCGATAGGATATTTTCTTGTTTCAATTTTGAATGTTTCTGAAGTGTTTTGGCTTGTAATAATCTTGCTCGACTTGCACTCCTCTGTCGTCCCAACGAATGTATAGGGAAATTTCAGGTTTCAAACTGCTGGTTTATGTTCGGTAAAGAAACTGCTGCTTTGTGTTACTTTCGTTGTCATTCAGTTGTTCATTGTTATGTGGGCAGAATTTTGATGTGTTAGAACGTGTCAAAAAAAAAAATGAATTGATAATATGTTTATGGTATGTGAGATTATTTTTACTAATTTAATTTATGTCAGAAAAAAAAAAAAAAAAAAAAACTGGCATAGGAGGACTCAATGACATCTACTTCCTCCTACTTCCGGTTTCGGACAAATTGGGTTGTTATTAAGATTCCTTTTTTTTTTTTTTTAATTTTTGGAGGGGTGGGCTGGAGGTGATGGTGGTGTGTATTTTAGAAAAAATTATGGAGTTAACCAGACTTTTGTCTGTGTATGGGGTCTGAATCCACTCAACAGGTTTGATCAAAATTAGAGAATAAGTTTCACTCATTCTATAAAATGAGGTTAGTCCACACACGTAATTTGTTGATGTTGGAGATATAACAATAGCCTAATTTATTAGAGTTTATTAATTTTTCTTTTTACCTTTTTATCTTTATTGTAACTTTCATTGACTTTATATACAGGGTTTTACACTTAGTTTGTATCCTTTTTTTTCCTTCTAAATATTTCAAGTTGGTATCAGAGTCATACACTAACCCTACCCAAACCCTAACCTTCTCCCTAACCTTAGCCCCCACCGAGACTACCTCATCGGCAAACCGACTGCCCATCCTCACACTAGTCAATACACTGACTGCCGAAACCCATACCAGGCCACATCGACTGCCCATCCTCATACCATTCAATACACTAACTGCCGAAACCCATACCAGGCCACACCGATTGCCTAAACCACCTCGACAGCCCCAAAGCCTTCCACCGACTGCCCATCATACCTATCCTTATCCTCATAACAGCCTTCCAGCCCCTAGCCGCAACACCAAAACACTCCAACAAACACATATACCACACCAATACACACGACGCCCAGCCTACTGTCGGGTCGTGTTTCTTGTTTTAGCTTTATCCTTTGCACTCTTCGTCACAGTGCTACCAGATTGCAGTATCTAGGATTCCCTTTTTTTTTATGAGGGGTTAAATCCTCTTCTTTGTCCGTTGATCTGCTCTTGATGCAGTAAGATCATTTATATTTATTGGATTTCTAGGCACCGTGACTTGATTATTTGAGAGTTTTTTGGACCTTCTTTATTTGTCGCTACTGTTCGACTGGAGGTATATTGTTCTCCTTTATTTTATCTCTCTATTTATCTTAGAGTTATTTTTCTGTTATGGGTGCCCCAGTATTATTGTTGATATGGCTACTGCTGATGCTACTGTGGGACTTGAGTCCTCTACTGTTGATACATCTACCGTTGAGGCTTCTATTAGTACTTCCACCGGGCATGTACTGCATGTTTCTCCTACTTTTATGTTTGACCAGTACACAGTACTTACTGACACAATTACTTTACCGGCAATGCCGGGAATGATCTCTCAGAAGGTTACAGCACAGTAGTTGAATGGTCGTAAATTTGCTGAGTGGTCACGTTCATTCCAGTTTTTCTTGGGCCGTGTAGGGAAGCTTGGTTGGCTGACGGGATCTCACCCAAAGCCAACTGATGCCAACCCTGGATATTCTGCGTGGTTCTCTGAGAACTCCGTCATTCTTGAATGGTTATTTGGCTCAATGGAGCCATCTGTTTGCAGGATACATCAGTTTCATAGCTCTGTTCTGAAATTATGGAGCGCATTATCAGAGATGTATTCTCAGTCAGGACAGGAAGTTCGTGTTTATGAGCTTTCTTAGGAGCTCTCATATGCTCGGCAGGGAAATATGACTGTTCAACATTATTATGGCTATTTGACGCAGCGTTAGCTTGAGTATGAGACTCTATGTCCTCTTGCTGCTATTCCGAGGATAGAGCCCGAGAGAGCAACATTCTTGCATACTCGAGAGCAGGAGGATAGGATTCACAAGTTTCTTATGGGCTTCTTGATGAGTTTAAGAGACCTCGTTCCCAAATTTTATTGATGTTGACGCTTCCTTCTCTTTATGAGGTGTATGCGATGATGAGCAGCATGAGCGCCGCGTCCGTATTGCATCACTTTCAGTTGCGGCCTTGACTCCTCCAGCTGATCATATGACCCTTGCAGCAGCAGCAGGGTCTCGTGCAGGATCCTCAGTCAGGGGTGGGCAGCGCTCGAACCAGCACCGTCAGGGTGCCCCAGATCAGCGTAGACAGGGGGATTCTCGTCAGTGTGATTATTGTGATCGACCGGGACATCTCAGGGTTGCTTGTTGGAAGCTCCATCTAGAGCTTAAGCCACCGCTCGTGGTCGTACTGCTGCTATTGCTGAGGTACCACTAGTTACTACAGTTACTCCTGCTACTGCTCCTCTTTGGCAGAGTGATATGGATGTTATCACTTCCCGAATGGATATACTCATGTCCGCTCTGACTTCTCAGAGTCCTACTACTACTACAGCCACCACTACAGGTATACCTCGTGCCTTTCATGCTTGTGCCAGTCCGTCTTCCCTTTGGATGCTGGACTCGGGTGCGAATGGTCATATGATAATTGAGGCCTATCACTTCACACTTTTGACGAGAAGTTACGTACACAAGTTCAGTTAGCAGATGGGACACATGCCCCTATTGTTAGTAGGGGAACAGTCCTCCTCCCTGATGACTTTACATTACCTTCGATTTTTCATGCACCAAAGTTGGTCATGAATCTATTATCTATACATCAGTTAGCCAGAGATTTTCACTGTGCGGTTATGTTCTTATCTGATTCGTGTTATTTGCAGGACCTGAGTACCAGGAAGATTATTATCAGGGGACATGAGAGAGATGAACTGTATTTTGTAGGCGATCTGCCTCCAGTTTCACCAGTTCCTCCACCTACATCACCTGCACTTACTTTATCTTTATCTGTTTCTGGCTTGCATGCTAGTATTTTACCTAGTAATTGTCGTTATAATTTTTCGCCACAAACAGTTCAGTTGTGGCATGACTATTTTGGACATACAAATTTTAAATATTTATGTATGTTGTTTCCTGTTTTGAGCAATGCTTGTGTTGGTGGTAAACTTGACTGTGTTATGTGTTCCATATCAAAACATGTTATGACCAGTTATATTCCTCGCATGCACCAGTCACCCAAGCCATTTGACCTAATACACTCTGATAGTTGGGGACCCTCTCTTGTTACTGCTCTATCAGGTGTCCGATACTATGTGACATTTATAGATGATCATACCCGTTATACTTGGATTTACCTTTTGCATAAAAAGTCCGATGTACTCCCTATAATCACTCAGTTTCTACAGATGATTAAGACACAATTCGATGTTATTGTTCGTTCTTTTCGAGGGACTCATCTTATATCTTGGAAAAGCAAGAAGTAGTTAGTTGTCTCTCGCTCGTCAGCAGAGGCAGAGTATCGAGCACTGACACTTGGCACATGTGAGATTATCTGGCTACGATCGATTCTTGGCGAGTTAAAATTTTCAGTGACTTTTTCATCTACATTATATTGTGATAATCGATCTGTTATTCAGCTTGCTTCTGACTCTGTATTACACAAGAGGACGAAACATATAGAGATCGATGTTCACTTTCTTCGGGAGAAGGTTAGCAGTGATATTATCACTCTATCGTTTGTGAGGACTAGTGATCAGGTTGCAGATATTTTTACTAAACCTGTCACTCTATCCATTCTTCGGGACTCTATTGTCAAGCTTGACTTAGTTGACATTTTTGCGCCTAACTTGAGGGGGAGTGTTGGAGATATAGCAATAACCTAATTTATTAGGGCTTATTAAGTTTTCTTTTTACCTTTTTATCCTTATTATAACTTTTATTGACTATATATACAGAGCTCTACACTTAGTTTGTATCCCTTTTTTCCCTTCTAAATATTTCAAGTGTTCATAATTATATGAATTTGTAATTAATATTGTACTTATGAGTCCTAAACAATTAGTGGTGCAACTAGGGTGCATTGGAAGATCAACTCAAATTTAACTCGAGTTACAAAACCTCTTATTCGAGCTCAACCCAACTCGATTGAGCTCCAGTTACAAAAAAATTGGGTTGAATTTTGGGTTAAAATTTGAGAATGGGGTATTAGTTTGTATCCAAGTGACTAAAGTGTTAATTGCATTAGCGGTCTCTAAAGTATGAGATTTATCTCATTTTGATTTCCAATGTTTCAATTGAATTATTTTGGTCCCTGAATTAGTGAATATGTTTTTATATAGTCCTTCAAGCAGACAACATCCAGATTGCTAACGATAATTTATCATAAACTTGTTACGTAATACCAAAATATAGACAAAAAATAATTTTGATAATTCTTAAACAAAATTTAAGTAGTTCTTGATAAAAAAATGTATAATATGGTTAACTTTTGACCAAAATTTTGATAATTCATGATCAAAATTGTGTAATTTAAATATCTATTTAACCAAAATTTGAGTAAAAATTTGATCAAAAGTTATCCAAATTATTTTTTTGTCCATATTTAAGTATCACTTGACAAGTTTATGATAAAAAATTATTAGCAATCTGAACGTTGTCTGCTTGAGAGATCATATAGAAACATATTCAATATTTCAGAGACTAAAATGATGTAATTCAAACATTGGGAACCAAAATGAGACAAACTCAATATTTTGCGGACCTCCAGTGCAATTAACCCGTGACTAAATTTAACCCTATTCATGATGGAAACACAAATAAAAATCCAATCTTCTCGCCAAAAAACAGAAGTTACGCAAACGAATTGAAAGCAAATCTTCATTTGGCAGAAACACAATTCTAATCCTAGATCTTCTCACCAAACCAAAATTATATGTACAAATGAATATATGTAGATAAAGAGAGTAATTAAAATATTACACTTTGGTTTCTTTGTTAGGTTTTTCTTTTTTTCTTTTTTGTTACACGTGTTCAGACTTGTATCTATTAATCTCTTGAACTTTAAATCGGTCACTATAACTCGAATTAATTTAAGAGCATATCCCTTGAGAAACAAAGGTGATTAACCCTTAAAGTATGTAAAAAATATCGCACTTGAGACTCATTATTTGT